GTGCTCTGTGCTTTCATCCGTCGTCAGAATCTGAATTCACTGCCAACGACTGCAAGGGGAAACTTCTTGTATTTAGGGTGCAGTTTATTACTGTGCCCGTTAATTTTATGCATTTTTAAAATTCTTAGATCTAAATGTATTATTCTTATGGTCTAACTATGGAATGCCCTCATTAGGCTCATAGTTTGAATGCTTGATCAATCTCCTGGTAGTGACACAGTATTGGAAGGTTCTGGAGACTTGAGGAGGAGGGCTCAGTGGAAGGAGATGGACCACTGGGAGCAAGTCTTTGTGCCTATTGTCTTGGGTCCTTTTCTGTCTCATTCTCTCCCTCCTAGCTGCCACTGTAGGACCTGCAGCATGAGCAGGAACCATGAACCAAAGGAAGACTTCCTCCCTTAATTTGTTCCCATCAGGTAGCTGGCCACAACAATAGAAGTAACTCACACAAGTAGTCAAGATGCAAATACATCAGAGAAACAACCTGAGTGGGGCCCAGAGAGATGGCTCCGCAGTTAAGAGCGCTGGCTGTTCTTCCAGAGGACCCAGGTTCGATTCCCAGCACACACAAGGCTGCTTACAACCATCTGTAATTCTAGTTTCAGGGAAATCAATGCCTTCCCCTGACCTCTGTAGGCACCAGGTATGCATAGAATACATAGATATAGAGGCAGGCGGGACACCCATACACACAAATGAATAAAATAAAAATAACTTTTAAATCTTACCGAATTTATAGATGATGTGCAATTAGGAAGAAGAGACTAACTTTAGGTGATAAAAATCAGCATCTCAAAAGACTTCAGCTTTTTGGTATAGGGAACATAGAATAGTTTGAAATTGAACAGAATAAATGTAACTTATTATGTATTTGCCTATGAATCCTAAATCACAAAATGATAGTCCTTTTATTTTGTTGTATTCTACTAGTTAGATACAAGTTAGAAGGGGATCCTATCGTTCCTTCATTCCTTCCTTCCTTCCTTCCTCCCTCCCTCCCCCCTCTCTCTCCTTCCTTCTTCCTTCTTTCCTTCCCTCCCCTCCTTCTTTTCTTGAAACAGGGTCTTACCATGTACCTCTAGTTGGCCTTGAACTCACAGAGATCCACCTGCCTCTACTTTCCTAGTACAAAGATCAAAAACATGTGCCACCATGGCCTGACATGCCATATCTTAATGAAGCAAGTCTACCACACCATAGATAAGATATCTCCACCAAATAAGAGTCACATTCAAGGTAAGGAGATTGCCTAAGATCATAAGTCAAAGGATGTGTGTCAGGGAGCTGTCATTTGGGATCTTGTCAACAGCTTCTTGACATTCTGTAGGAGTTTAAAAAGATGTGCTTAGAATCTCAAGGAAGTTGTACTATTAGAGGAACTGAACTGGGTCTAGTAAATAGGAGGAGGATTGTTTAAAACCCAGTCTGGTGTTAGGGAACTGAGATATAATGTTCTTTGAGAAAACATCTATTTTACCAAAAATTTACTCCAATTATAACCCTAATAACAAAATCCTACAAATGTAGCACAAAACAACTACCAAACGCAAGTGATTTAAAATATCTTAACACTAGCAGAGAAATTAGTCAGGGCAGAGCAGTCACTGGGGTGAGGTACGGCACAGCCACGTGGAAAGGTCTGACATCAGAAAACATAACGGGAGAAAATGCCGCTCGTTCCCACTTCACACAGGCCAAAAACAACAATGAATTCAACATTCACCCATCCCTGAATAAGAAGCCTTAGTTAAATAGGGGAAAGCATTTTCAGGAACTGTTTCAAGTGGCGAAGAGTCTGGGATGTGATAGGCTGACAGGTGCGAGCTCCAGTTAACAGCTTCCTTACATTTAGGACTTAAAATACCCTCCAATCAAGAGTGATGATGGCCCATTGCTCAGGGTTCGGAGTCTGAGCTGGCTTGATTGATTGCTTTGGCTAATAGCAGGCAACGGGTGTGAACTTCATGCCAATTCCAAATCCAGCCCTCGAGCACACTATAAGCTTCCCTTGACACCTTGGATTCCTGCCTCCACCATAAGCAAGCTCTTAACAAGCTTGCAAATGAGTGATGAGGCCCGTGAAGTGGGAGGGGAGCCAAGTAATCCAGACCCAAAGCCAGCCAGGCCCTGGGGCAGAGCTACCGGGAAATTACAGAGCTGTGTGTAGACCCCCGGGGCCAGGTCAGCCTAGTGCCAACTGCCAACTCATTTGCTTCTGTCAGCAGCTGAATAAATGGTTGTTTTAAACCATTAAGCTTTGGGGTTGTTTGTTATATGGCAATAACAAATGAGACAGCCAGTAAATCCATGAGCCTTCTTAATCAATTCCTTACCAATGGTAGTTTCTGATTGAGAATACTTCCGAGTCTCTGTTAAATTGAGCAGAAGTATCATGCATTGTTACTATTAAATTGATAACTAAAAGACAGATAAGGGTCACTTCACATCAGAGATCTTATTGTTGTTTTGTATAAGTGATAAGCGGTTATTCTTCTGGTAATAAAGTTACTCCTAAGAATGGTCTGGTAAACTTGAATGATAATCATCAGCCAGGTACAGGGCCTTGCAACTGTAGTACCATCGCTCAGAAGGCTGAGCAGGATGAGTGCTTCAGCCTGGACAACATAATGATACCCTGTCTTAAAAGTAAGTTAATTAGTCAATTAACTAATTCTCTAAAAGACATTTTTTCTGATTAAGAATTTTAGCTATTTAGTATTTTCCCCTTACACCTTGAGAAATAGATTTGTGATCATTACTTAGGCTTTGTATTCGTTTTTGTGTGTTTTGCCAACATATTTGTTATATGTTACACTTTGGATCACGTGGAGACACTGCATGTCTAGAGTTGGATCACACCAACTACCTGATGCTCTATACCCAGATGAGGTAGATCACACCAACTACCTGATGCTCTATACCCAGATGAGGTGGATCACACCAACTACCTGATGCTCTATACCCAGATGAGGCTGATCACACCAACTACCTGACGCTCTATACCCAGATGAGGCTGATCACACCAACTACCTGACGCTCTATACCCAGTTGAGGCTGATCACACCAACTACCTGACGCTCTATACCCAGTTGAGGCTGATCACACCAACTACCTGACGCTCTATACCCAGATGAGGCTTGATCACACCAACTACCTGACGCTCTATACCCAGATGAGGCTGATCACACCAACTACCTGACGCTCTATACCCAGTTGAGGCTGATCACACCAACTACCTGACACTTTATACCCAGATGAGGTGGATCACACCAACTATCTGACGCTTTATACCCAGAGGAGGCTGATCACACCAACTACCTGATGCTTTACACCCAGATGAAGCTGATCACACCAACTACCTAACACTTTTCACCCATATGAGGTGGATCACACCAGCTACCGAGAGAAAGCACACCAACTCCTTACTGCCTGAGACTTTTCAATCCAATACCCCCTGTATTTTTTTTTTGTGCCATAGAGAATTTTCTGTAAGGAAAATTACAGCTCAAACATTTGAGATTGTGTTTTGAATATTAATCATTATTCTAGTTACTTTCTTCCCTAAAAATAGACCCCTGGATTAGTTCACACAAGACAATGCAAATCTGAGTAAATAAATGGTCTGCGGAAGAGCTAACATCACGGTTAAGAAGTTGAGTGATCCCCAGATTCTCTTTAGGATGAATTTAGGCTCCTTGGAGCACCCAGAGCATAACACCCCTGAAGTAGATGAGTTTCAAACCTGCTTACATGCTCTGAAACTTAGATTTCCCTCCGACTTTACACCCAATCTCACAATGAATGAATCAGTTATCTAGAGTGGACAATCTTTCTTCTTTTTACTCCTGAAAAATCTATTTTATTTTCAATTTACAGAGAATAAGATGGGATTTCTTGGCATACACGCTTTAGAATTATGTCAGTTGAAAGCTTTTCTAACTTAGGCATTTTCATTAGGATTTTTATACTTATATTATCTTCTAGATGCTTAGAGGGAAATTAATATAATCGGGACACTAGACCCACGAGGAAGAGTGTACAGGAAGTAAATACTGATTTACTTACTGTCTTTCAACCCCAGCCCCTACCCAGGAGGCAGACACAGGGGGACTCTGATTTACATAATGTATTTTAAGCCAACCAGGGCTATCTAGGGAGGCCCTGTTGCAAAACAGCAACCAATCTACTTTTAAAGGGATAGTTCCCTGTATTATCAAGAAGATTTGGTGTATCTGGAATAAGGGAGGCATTCACAACACTTTTTCTTGAACAAAAAAGACAATTATGTGGCAGTGAGATGCTGCAAGCTCACTTTCGTTGCTTAGATTGGAAAATGAATGTCCTACGATTGATAGCCAAATCCTGGAGACTTCACCCAGCTGCTTGGCGCTGGCCCAGTAGCAGTAGCTCTGACAATAAGCTGGAGGATGCTGAGGGGAAATGAAGTCCAAACATGCCTTGCTGTGCAACACGGTCTCTAAGATGCACAGCCTGCCTCCTGCCCAAGCTGTACAGCTGTTAACCCCAAAGAAGAGGAGTCCGTTTAGGGCAATTCCACCTACTTCCATCTATATACATACATATGTGAGTGTGTGTGTGTGTGTGTGTGTGTGTACATTACTTTTTTGTTGCTTGCTTCATTTTGCTACATTTATCGACTCAAACCAGCCTGCACATTGGAAATCATTTCACTATCAATATGACTGTGTAGAAAATGTAACACGATGTGGAAATGATGGAGCTCTGGGACTGGATTTGGTGACGCTGATTCTAATCACATCAGACTGGCATCCAACCTGAGCACCGGGCTCAGCTTCAGAAACTGTCTCTCCAGGCCGTGCCCGGCCCTGATTCCACCCCTCACTCTTCTCCTCTGTGCTGCTTTTGCCTCTGGCTCGCCCTCCCCAGTTCTAGCCATTCCTGGTTTTAACCATCTCCCAGCTAGCCTCAGTCATCTCCCTGACATACTTTGTATCCTTTCCTTTCTCTGCGCCCTGCAGGATAGCAGACCTCTGCAGCCCCCACCTGTCTGGACACGACCTATTCAAACAACTCTCTTCTCTCTGACCTCATCTGTCCCAGTACCTTCTGCCCTTCTCAGTCCTTCAGCTGCTCAACGTCAGCACCCTCCCCATCACATCTGGGACGTCCTGTCTTCTCCTCACAGGTCACATCAGATGCCAGCAGCTGGAGTCTTCCCAGTATCTCCCTACAAAGGAACTGTTCTGTTAACTTCCCTTCTATGCAGCACAGGGAGACATTTTTCCTCCAAGCCTACCTAAGATACTTTCAGTTCTGACTCACACAATGCGGAATAGCTTTTCTGGCAGGAGAGTTCTCCGTGGTGGCAACTCTGGTGGTCAGAGCATGCTTCCTCAACCCCAGGGGACAGTGCAATTACTGTCTCTAGGAAGGTAGGGGGAGAAAAGATGGAGGAAGGGAAAGAGCAAGGGTGAGAGTGGGCCCAGAGTGCCCCATCTATGCCATGGCACCTTCCTCCTAGTTTCTCACAATTCTCATTATTGCTCTATAGCAATTTTAACAAACGAGTCTGCTCTGGTTGTCTCGGTGTATTGTTTTGTGTTCATTACTTAAGAGCCTTTGTCACCCTGCTATCCTGTGCCATCTCTATCCTCTGAAGAAGTGCCCAAAGCCCATGTTGAGGATCCTCTCTTCCCAGGAGAACAAAAGGCAAGCCTCTTGCTTACTGGTCCATCCAAAGTCTTCACCACAAACCCCACTTCCTTGTAGCCTGCTCTTGGGTTTGCTGTGAGTCCAGTGGTACGGGCAGCTCTCCATTGTAGACATTCCTTCTTTTGCTGCCCAGCCCAAATCTCACTCAAGACAAACTTCCTATCCTCCTGCCCTAGGGCAACTTGCGGGCTATGGGGGAGAGAGCCCTCCTACACAATGACCCTGGTGGGAGTGAGAGGCAGTCACCACACCCACCGGAGAAGAATTTCACTCGTGCCTTACCCTAGCTGCTGTCTTTCTGAACTGATGCCATGGGAACGCCTCATATACGTTGATTGCAATCTCAGATAGTCCTGCAGTATTGCCCATTGTGTGGAAAGCTTCCGAAGCTCACAAACACAATGCCCAGCCAAGCAGCTGACACAAAAGAGGACATATATTACATGATTCCATTTATATAAAGTCCACAGACACTCTGTTGTATTAAAAATGGGAGGAGTAAGGACTGGAAAGGCGTAGGTGGGGATTCTGGGGTAACCTTCTGTTTCGTGATCCATGCTACTCACTGCATAAGCTTTGCTTGAGAAAGCACATAGATTCATACCTGTGTGATCCATGCACTGTCCAGGATGTATGTACTACTGTGATTAAAAAGCTGAAAATAGGAGAAATGAATATGAAGTATTGTGATGGCTGTCCAATTACTAATATGGCACACAGTTCTTATTAGATTCAAGGGCCTGCAGCTTGAGGAGAGTTTGGTTGCCACCGGCTAAGCTACTACTACCCACTACTCTACAGTCCCGGGTACACCAGGATACTGGGTGGGCATCAAGCCAAAGGTGGGGCTGGAGTGGTGGTGCACTCCCATAGTCCAGCACTCAGGTGACTGAAGCAGGAGGACTGTGGTTTTGAGACAAGTTATACAGCGAGACCCTGTCTACAAACCAAAAAAGCAACAAAACCAGAGGTGGGGTGACTGCACAACACAGTCCGGTTTTGTCTGGGGTAGGAAATCCAGGGAAGGAAATGACTGTCTTGGTTACGGCTTCTATTGCTGTGAAGAGACACCACCATGAGCACGGCAACTCTTATAAAGGAAAACATTTAAGTGGGGCTGGGTTACAGTTTCAGAGCATTAATCCATTGGCATCATGGTGGCACGCAGGCAGACATGGTGCTGGAGAAGGAGCTAAGAGTTCTACATCTTGATCTGCAGACAGCAGAAGCAACGGTGTGCCGCACTGGGCATAGCTTGAGCTAGCGGACCTCAAAGTCTGCCCCACAGCGACACACTTCCTCAAACAAAGCCACAGCTATTCCAACAAAGCCACGCCTCCTAATAGCCCCATTCCCAAGAGGGCTATTTTCTTTCAAACCACCACACAGACCTAAGAGGAGTTCCTTATAACTAAGTGTTGAAGGAATTTCTAGACTTCTCTCTAAGCCCTTCCATGTTGTTTCTTATTTAGATTATGCTAGGGGGGGTAGACTTTATCCTAAAGTAAAGAGCAGTCACAGACTGTCCCATAGCCAAGGCGCTTCTCTGTGTCAAGACACTGGAAACGGCATCCTTGCAGAGATTGGCAGGCAGCAGGGCCTGGCTGAGAGAAACCAGAGAGGAACTAACTGTCACCCAAGGTAGACACCCAGCTCGTCCTCTGCTTCACTGAGGAAGAGCAGAAGTCCCACCTCTCTGGGGCCTGACTCTCCTCACCGAGGTAGTGAAACGTCTGCCCTGCTCTGCCAAGGTCTTGTCTAGCTCCTTCCAAGATTCGTTGCTATAATTAAGGGGCAAATCCTTCATGTAGAGATTAAGTGGAAGTAAGGGGGGATTGTATCGTAAGTTATACGCTGCCTTCTTGAATTTTATAAGAAAAAGAACAGCCTTTCTAACCTTTGCTTTTCAATTTTACAGGAAACTAAATACTACTTAGCAGTATTTAGGGAGACAGGGATTTTTCTAAAGCCAGACCTTTGTACATTTTTAAGCTCTATTATTAATATCCAAAATATCACTTTAAAATTATTGCAATTTGACAGAATAACTTCTATAAACACTTATGTATGACGTATTACTGTGGTTTGGGGCATTAAAATAGCTTTTAGTTTCTCATTCCTTCCTAATTCTATAACCCTCACAGACCCATTCCATCTTGTTCTAATCCAGTGAGACCACCCTGGGGCCTTGAACATCTGGGTGCATAACCCTGGGGGCCATGGGTACGTCCACCCAAGGATGTGAAAATCTGGGTGCATCCATCCTGGGTCTGTAAACATCTGGGTGCATCAACCTTGGGTCTGTGAACATCTGGGTGCATCAACCCTGGAGCCTTGAGCATCTGGGTGCATCCACCCCAGGGCTGTGAACATCTGGGCACATCAGGTTGGGTTGAGGTGTGCTTCATTGTTTTGTTATCGGTGATAACAAATGAATAGTCAATGACAGGCAGTGATGAGGTTTCTGTGACCCGACTTTCTTCTGCCTAGTGAAGGAAATGATCTTGCGACTTAATGGCCCCATCTACGTCAATCTCCCCTGTGTTTGAATGGTACACTCTAGATCTCAGGCATAGTATCTGTGAGATGAAGGGGACTGTGGAGAAAGCAAGGAGAAGGAATCTCCTTGAGATACCTTGGCACTGTTAGAAAATGTTTCACAGGTCTGGAAAGTTGGCTCAGAGGCTAGGAGCACTTGATGTTCTTCCTAAGGACCTGGGTTCAATTCCCAGCACCCACATGGCAACTTAGAATCATCTGTAACTCCAGTCCCAGGAGCTCCAGTGCTGTCTTCGAGCCTCCATAGAACCTGTACAGATATGGGACACATACATGCAGGCAAAATACCCGGACACATTTTAAAAAGTTAAAAAAAATTAAAAAAAATTATATTGCCTGAAAATAAGTAATGCAATTATGAAAACTACTTCTTTTATTTTTTGAGATTATAATGTAATAGCACCATTTCCTCCTTCCCTCCCTCCCTCAAGCCCTCCAATAAGCCCCTTCAAGCTCTCCTGCAAATTCCTGTCCTTCTTTTACATTAACTGTTTTTTACACACACACACACACACACACACACACACACACACACACACACACACACACACACCAAGGTTTACTGAAGTGCCAGCCCCCAGACCTCTCAGGATCCAGAGGAACGCCACAGAAAGCGAAAACTGGTTAAAATGGTCTGAGGGTGAAAGGAACGAATCAGCCCACGCACATCTCATCACGTGTCTCCGTTCTTCAAAAGGGTTTCTCTCAATGCTCTCCCTCGATTTGCTCTCCATCCCACAAGGTTCCTATTTACATACCCACACAGACACAGCTAACAATTCTTTGGCAATAGCAGGGATACCAGGCATGCATTTCACAGGGCCAAAATAGGCAGATAGGGCTGACAAGACCGGTGCCTGTTTACTTACGGCTCAGAGGGGGCGTGACTGTGAAGCACGGGACACGTCTGAAAAACATCTCTTTGTAACTGAAGGAGACCTTTTCAGAAAGCTTCAGTTTACCAAAGCCCAGGGCTGTCGGGACTGGGCTCCGTATACAGCACAATCCTTGCTCAGGGATCATTTTGGAAGAGAGAGAAGAATGCTTATACGTGCTACAGGAACAGGAAGTTTTCTGTGAGATTGTATTTCCTAGAATTGACAGAGGAGCTATACCCACGACATTTTATCAGAATGGCTGCCTAAACAAGACCTGAACAGTGACAGCACCTAGGGACACGCTAATGTGAAAGGGAACATTTCTTGAAGCCTCAGCTTCATAAAAATAACGACAGGCACCTAGGGAATGCTGAGAGTACGTGAAATGTTCTTTCCCAAAGAAATGCTCCCCGCACCCTGATTCATTATCCAATACTAAGTGGTCAGCCCTGAGATTATATACATATGGAGATATTATACAGACTGAGAAGATTGCGTGTGTGTGTGTGTGTGTGAGAGAGAGAGAGAGAGAGAGAGAGAGAGAGAGAGAATAAATGACAACAGTCAAAGAAAAAGAGACCATGAATTTGAGAGGGGGGAAGAGAGAACAAGAGAGGTTGCACAGGAGGAACTGGAGATAAGAAAGGGAAAAGTTATGTAATTATAATTTAAAAAAATAAAAATTATATGAAACAATTTTAGAAATTGTTTAGAAATTTAGAATTTTTTTTTTACTCTCACTCCTGCTATAATATTGCTTGTGATGAAGATTCATCATGTTTTTAAGAGTTTATATATCCTGGCTGGGGAATGTAATGGGAGAAGCGACTCTATTAAATAAAACCCAAAATTCTCACATCTGAAGTCAAGAATTTCCCCCTCAGAGATAACCATAGTTATGGGGAACCATAAACACCCAAGAGGAGAGACAAGTGGGGCAACCAGCCTTCCGTCAGGACTCCTGAACTCGGTTTCATTCTCGGAAGATTTTCCTGAACAGCCACACTGTTCACTGGGAAACATAGCTGGATGTAACAGGGTTCTGAAATTCCAAATGCCAGCCTGGTCTCTACCCAAGTAACCCCAGAGCTCCGCTTCCACT